AAATTTATAAATATTTTAGTTATAATTTTTATTATCTTTTGATTTAATATTGGATTTCTTTTGATTATGAAAGATATTTACTTGGATTGAGTTATGATTGTTATAATCTTTTAATTTAATATTGGATTTTATTTATTATAAAACATAATAAATAAAATCTAAAATCTGGAACAATTTCTTTGATTTATATAATAAATTTAATATCAGAATATTTATTATAATTTTAGTTATGATTTATATAATATTTTGATTTAATATTAAATTTCTTTTGATTATAATATTTTAATATATTTTATTTAAAATATCAGTTAACATATTTTATTATATTTTCATTTTAATTTATTATAAAATAATTAGAATATTTAATTTAGTATTATGAAAAAAATAACTATTATAAGATTTAATTTATTTAATTTCGTTATTTATTATAATACTTTTTAGTCACCATATTGACCAAAAATTTATTTTTAATAAAAATATATTTTAAAATTTTAATTAATTCATAATCATTCACTCACTTTATTAAAAAGTGATAAAATATAATTAATTTTTAATTAATTTAATAAAATAAAAACTTTAAAATATATGTCTAAAATATAATTAATTTAATAAAACAAAAATTAAAAATAATGCTGATGAAGAATTAATTTATTTTTATTTTTATAATTTAGTTTTGTGATACACGGAATATGTTTTGAAACTTCCTGTTGCCCTAACACAGACCTCCTTTTCTTCTCTGTTAAACGGCTGCTAAACCCTAAACCGCGCGCATGAGTATGAAGCCCATACCCCTGAATCCCTTGCTCGTGAATATTGAGAAGCCTTTGCTTTCCCCGTTGCCCTGCCCTCGCTCCACACTTGATTCGATCGGTTGCTTCTCCACCATCTCCGGTTAAATTAAAGGTCTATTTGTTTTGTTCTTGCTTGCAGAGCCACTCCATGTTAGATTCTTCTTGCTTAATAGAGCCAGACATGCATTCTGATTTCAGATATCTTTGATTAGCTTTGACTCTTTGCTTCTACCACTTTCCTTTCTTAACTTGTTATCTTCTTCTACTTGTTTTACTCAATTTGTCGTGCAAAACACTTTGCTTTCCCCTATATTTATTCCGAGAAAGAGAAGAAGAACAATTCAGGGTCTGGTACGTATACTGTGCTTCTGTTGAGATTTATTCCTGTCCCTTCATATTATTTTTCATCATATCTATTCACTCTGTTCACTCCACTTTGCTACATTATTATATTAAGGGTCTGAACTATGAAGGTTTATCTTTTGCCAATTTCTGTTCTGGGTCTGCTTGATTTTATTTTATTTTATTTGGTACATGGTGTATTAAGCTGAACATGAAATTTGTTGCGGGTTGCTCGGTCTCTTTCTTTTTTCTTTTTATGTTAACTAAAACCAATCACTCTGAAGCTTGATTTTCAAATGTCTATGGATCAGGCTGTTGTCAACCTATATATAGTCTTGGAATTAATGATCTTTTTCTTTCGGCCTAGTTAAACGTGTGCAATGATCAATGAAGCAGGAACCACTTAAATCTTATAAATTGATGTCTTTCTTCTGTTCTCTTAATTCATACATGTGGTCTTGTGTTGTGGCAGGTGCTTGGCTTTAAAGGAGGGACAAAGCTGAAACGTGGCTAGCAAAGGAAAAAAGGTGTTGTTATTGGTATCTGAATAAGTTATTGGAACCAACAAAGAAAGAAGAGATGGAAGCAGAAATCTAGAATGAAAAACACAATTTTAATGTGGCTCGGGAGGTGGTGTCAGTTTTGAGTAAGTGGGGTTGTCTCCGATTCTATCTTTAAGAAATTTATATGTTTGAGAAATTTTGTCTCCTAACATGACCATTCTTTTCTGAAGTCCTTGGACTGTGTTACCATTTTAGTAAATAGCCTTATATTTGAGACTTCAATTTCAACTATATAGATCCTGAAAGACTTGACCGCAATGGCAAAAGCTGGAAAACTTGACCCAGTCATAGGAAGAGATGATGAAATACGCAGGTGCATCCAAATTCTTTCTAGGAGAATCCTATGCTAATTGGTGAGCCTGGTGTTGGAAAGACTGCAATTTCTGAAGGGTAAGTACTTAGGTCTTCATCCTTGCTGTTTACTATAATTTATTTCTGATATGGTGCTGGCCAGCGTTCATTTCTCCACCTCATTCGTATGCATGTGCAAACTCTCTTTTCCATTCTTTCTTTCTAAATCTTAAATCTTTCATATTTCTTCTGTTTCACTAATGTAGTTTATAACTTCAGTGCTGCACCTTCTTCATCTCAATTATTTATTCTTAACAAAGATTCATTTTTTTAAACGAATCTAGAACTAGGTTGTTTCACAACGTCTTACTCAAACTAAAGATTTGTTTTTGATTGGATCCCACTTGTGTGATTTTGCTTCACTCAAATATTTGCTTTCTTTTTTTGTGTGCAGAAAGGTAAAAGAAAAAAAAAAAAGAGAGAGAGAGAACATGACTATCACAGGTTCTAGTTCTGGACAACCACAATTCATTTCCAGCACTGGGAACAGAAGCCTTTCCAATGCGCCACTCATTGAGAACTCAGATACTAATCAAATTGTTGTGCCTGATGTGAGTCTCGGTTCTCATTTATTTTGCCTATTTGACAAATGTTAAATTAGTAGCATTGACTTAGATCATGTATTGACTGAATGATAATTACTCTGA